AAAACTGACACGACAGGAAAGAAAACTTTTTATAATTTACTTGACTGTTCTGACAATTACTGTATTTCATGCAGTCATGGCTGAGAAACAATTTCACTAAACATGGAAACTCACTTAAAAACCAAAAACTAAGAATCCTTTTCTAAAACAACAGCATTGCAATCAAGGTAACAAAAGCCATAAGCAACACATTTAGCACATGTGGAAAAATGACTCACATGTAGGGTTGGGCATAATCGTATCGTGTGCAATTAATCGTCAGTAGAACATTAATCGATTATTTTTTGGCACTTGACGATTAATATGATTAATGCCACCAGGGGAGATTTCTCCAGTCAGTCCCCTCGGTTCTCCTCTCTGCTTCAAATATGACGAACATTAAAAACAAGTTCTCTAATTTATTTATATATCAACACAATTTAAAATTGATGTACAGCCTGAAGTCTGTAATTTTGACACAATTTGGAACAGATTTTTACGAAGAGCAAATCTTTCCACACTAAATTGGTCATGTGACCAGGACCTAATGGTGTACAGGGACTCCAGGGCATAAATCGTCAAATTAATCGTTATCGGCTAAATACCACAATTAATCGTGATTAATTTTTTTGCCAATATTGCCCAACCCTACTCACATGTTAGTCTGTCTTTAGACCAGATCCTAACAAGAGGTGTAACGTAACTAAATACAAATACTTGTTACTTTACTTAAAAAATTTGGTTATCTATACTACACTTTTCACCTGACTCTGTACTCCTTACATAAAAAATCAAGTAGAAAGCAGTTCATCCTATTTTGTGTTGGCTTGTTTCCATTCTGACTTATTGTAAAAAAATAAAAATAAAAACACTATCCAGATATGTCAAACCTCTAAGCTAGACTGAAGTTGAGGTTGTTTGAGTAGTATGAATATATACCATTCTGGCATCCTATTGGTTTGTTCAATCCATCACACCTGTACACGACACAAACCACGTCACACTCAAGCAGGACATATCAGATGTTTGTAGCCTAGTATGAAGATGACTGTAGCAGAGGTGTACTGTATAAAGATACAGGTAGTCTACTGTATCATGAATTATTTAACATTAACATTTTAATAAAAGAGTCATTATGGCCTTTACAAAAATGCTTTTAAGGAGAGGTTAACTTCCAATAAATGTCATTTTGGAAACCATTTAACCGCATACTTTTACTCAATACTTTATTAGTTGAGTGCAATTTATGTCACATATTTACTTTTGATACTTTAGTACTACAAAAAATTATGATATTTAAGGCTTTTACTCAACTAATATTCTTAGGAGACTAAGCTTTGTCAGAGTAATTTTATGATAACATACTTGTACTTTTACTCAAGTATCACTTATGCGCGATATAAACGATATACAGTAGAAACTATCTAAATTTGTCCTATGATAAGAGATCTGTTGCCTACCGGTCAACCGCGTAGTTGTTTTTGATAACTTAACCGGCTGGAGTCAAAACAGAGGAAGCGTGGCTAAGAGCGCAAATGAAGAGGGGGAAAAAACTTATTCGGACCTGGTTCAGGTGTGTGAAAATGAACGCCGAACTGTTTACATATTTACATGACGGCGCGTCCTCCGGTCGGATGCCGACCGACCACACTGCCTGCTGCGGGAGGAGCGCGTGCCGCGGCAAGTGTGAAGGGCTCGACACACGGGAGGCGACGTCGCTCGCTCTCCATTCATKTCCACRCAGYGAGGCGACTGTCVGKGCAGRTGRAGTCAGTGCTCAGGTGGGACGCACAAAAATCAGTCTGGACCTCGTTTCTCCTGCGGTCATAGCGCGACGACGCACGGCTGAATGCGCGCACGCTCCAAAGCGCGACAATGATTGTCACCCCGCCGGAGCGCGCACATATTAAAAACGTGGAGTGCAGAAAAAATAATCTGCAAAGTGTGTAGAAAGGAATAAATACAAGCAATTTGTTTTACCACCTTAAAACGAAGCTGGTGATTCCAAACACAACACCAGGTAGATCTCCCTTAAATTTAGATTTTTATGGGAGACTTTAAAGTGTCCCTTAAAAAAGGAGATTTTAAGGTCTAATTTTTTTACCTATACATATTTAGTCCACTCAATTAATGTGTGATTTATTTATTTTCTATTTTAAGTTTTATATCGTGATATATATCGTTATCGCCACTTATCATAATGTACAGGTCCTTCTCAAAAAATGTATTTTTTGCCATATCGCACATTCATACTTTGAGGTACTTTATACAAAATTGATCCAAACTACTGAAGGCTTTTTATTGTATCCTAGGTGGGTAAAAACAGATGACAGCAGAGGATAGGTCATCACTCAAAGATTTGAATCAAGTTATGTGAAGATTAAAAGGCTACAATACTAAAAGTATTGGACTGTATAATCTATAAACACAGAAGATATTGTCCAATAAATACGTCAGACAAAAAAGAAATGCAACAATGCTTAGGGCAGCTGAACTGCAAAACTTTGGAAGTTGACATAAAAGCTAAAAAGTCAAGTTTGAGAATGGAGAAAGACTTTACATAAAAACATGAGGGGGAAAAAAAACTTGCTCTCATCACCGTTGATCACTACCATGAGCAAAGCTCTGTGAAAGTTTTAACTTTTTTTTTAAATTACAGATATCCTTCCTGACGCAACCTGAGCTCAAAGCAGCCTCAGGACTAATATGGAAAAAAAATGTTTGTTACAGAACTGAAGACCATTTTAAATTAACATCAAGATAAAGGTAAAAACGTCTTTAAGATGAAAAGTTTTGAATTTGCTAAATTTCTAAAAGCTGCTGAAGAAACACTGTTGTCTTTCCATCTCTGTACACTTTGATATATAAATTTAAGCATAGTTATGGTTACATATTTAACAATGGGATATTATTCTGATGGTGTAGGGATGCAAGTTGTCAATTAATGAATTTAGAGGGTAATTTAAAGAATAAAATGGTGGCGTACATTCATCAATTCTAGTTTTCCTTGGCCTATAAACACAATTTAACTGGCTTTAAGTTTGAAGTCTCTATTTTTTGACTCAAATTAAGAGGGCATGTCTTTCTTGGGAAGATGTTATCAGTTAATCAAATGGAACAAATTTTAATCTAATAAACCATTATTAGATTAACTTGATTTTTGTTTGCATCCCTATGATGGTGTTTGACAGTTATTCCATTCATACGTCTGCTGACTGTTTGAAGAGTCTACACAGCCTGAGACTTTAAAGAGTTAAAGTCCTTCTCAATAAAAACAGTAATTACAACTGTCTCTTACCATGCAACACAAATTTACATACAATTGCTGGTACTACTGCAAACATGACTACCACTAGATGAGTTTAAACACCACAAACACAAAACAAAAGCCACTCAACAACATGCGTTGTGTGCCAAATCCAGCTAGCAGTGCACATCATCATATTTATTGTGAGAGAGAAAAAGAAAGAGGGGCAATGGATTTCTCCTTTTTGGAGCCAGATATTGAATCAAATTTTAAACTGAATTATCAATAACCCATGACATTGTTTGAAAACAGCCCCGATCACCTCAACGTCCTGTCAGACGTCAAGACCAGTTCCTAAGCCCCTCTTAACAAGTAAACAAACCGGCTCTCAGAGATCCAACACTGCGTTTGATGACATGCAGAACCGCATGCAGACAGATTATGAACCATACGAACCAGTCTCCACTTGAGGCTGCTGCATCTCCTGCTCGGTAACCGGGACCGTTTCTGTTGCTTCACCGGGCATGGCTGCTGGCGGGGAAAACAAAGACACTTTGTAAACACAACAACATGGAACAAACGGAACTGAGGCCGCGTGAAAGACGGGAGACCCTGCTTTAACACCGAAACACACGTAGCAACATTAGCTTCAGCTAATAAACGGGCCTCAACAGAGGCAAGCTAATCGCTATAACTGATTAAATTATCACTCCAGTACCAGGTAAAGGTAACCAGCTATATGTCATCTTAATTATACAAACACATTAGGTCAAAAAGTTCACCACGATTCTGACAGATAGCTACCAAGGCGTTTTAACATCATGTTCCCCCATTTTGAGCCTGTTATCTGCGCTACAGAGGGACAAATCTCCAGAACGGAAGACACAATGAACATAATATTTATACCAATCTGATGGACAGAGCCTAATAAAACACATAAACCCTTCTGTGGGGAGAGAACCGTGCGAAAAACGGGCAGATGAGGCTGGATTTTAACGAGAGACACTGACCGATTCAGGACGCTATTTCCAAGATGGCTGCGAGAGAGAACTTCTGGCCCCAGCTGCTCGGCAATATCCGGTGGGGAGGCATTCTACTTCCGGGTTGATTAAAGGAACCACTCATTCTGATTTTTACCAGTAATTACAGCAAATATTACAACAAAAATCATAAAGAATTATTTTTAAAAAGTAGCATTTTACATTCTATTGTTTAGACAGGATTTCACTTCACGTTTTTATATAAATGGAGAAATAATATTTTATTAAATCAGTGTATTCATTCAAGGTTACAAAGAAATTAATTAAAAAACATTGAATTTAAAAAAGCTTAGGCACATGTTTGGTAATTATTTGATCAATAACTATTTTATTGTACAATTAAAATGTGGTCTTTGTAAATCAATTTTTTAAGAGATCAAAATAAAGTTATACAGACACTGATAGGATACCTCAAAAGTAATAATTGATATAAGTTTCATCATTGCAGCTCAAATAATTAGGGACATCCTAAAACATGCCATTCAAAAAAAATAATAGAAAGAGCGCAATGTATTTTTAGTATGTAAAATGTAATTTAGTTTTTATGCATTTTATTTATTTAAACATATATTTACAGGTTTTATTACAAGGGTTTATAATGTAAATTTATAAGTAAAATGCAGGATTTTAGTTATATGAAACATTAGGAAAAACGTGCTCTGATTGGTAAAAAAAATGAACCTTTTCTTCATTTCCAAGTTTTGCAGCAAAAATAAATGAAATAATTAAGCAGCTTAGGTTTCAAATGTTTTATTACAGTTTCACAAAAGCATAAATGATTTAGATTTTAATCACAAAAAAGAATCATCACCCCAAATAAGTCTACAAAGCCGTAAATGTGTCTTCAAAGACGTCGTTTTCTGATAGTGGATCAGTTTTAAAATTCTCTCTGCTGATCTAAAAAAAACAAACAACAATTTCAAAACACTAAAAATATGCTTAATGTTTGTTTCGTACAACAACCAGAACTCACCGCTCTTTTTGAGAAGTTCTCCTTTCCATGAACGAGCCAACCCATCAAGAAACTGATCGAAGTGCTTCACGTACTTGGCCAAGCTGGTTCTTTTGTAATCTGAGGGAAAATTATTTGTGAGCAAAATAGGTAGAAACAGAAAAATATATGAAATAGCCCAAGACTTAATTTGAAACACCAGGGTCAGCCGCAGAGAACAGTGCAGGCTGCGGCGCAAACTGAGCGCAAAGCAGGAGGAAACGACGGGGAAATTATTTCTAGTGGCAAAACGGTTGGGGCAATGGTTGGGACTTTCATTTTATTTACTGTTTTTTTTAAACATCCTACAGACTCTGAGAGAAAATAAATATGAAGCTGAGTTTTTGAAAAAATCTGTGAGATTGCTCTAAACGTCTGTATTCCTGCAAAATGAAGGAAAATCTGTGTAAAATAGTTGTCAGCAGCCATCCGCCCGCAGACGCACCACGGAGTGCCTGCCTGAGCAGACAAGTCGCTTTAGGTGTCATTGATCAGTGGACTCATTTAAAGGATTAGTTGTAACATTAGACTTTATTTGATAATCATTTATTTTAACTGCAAATTAAAGACTGTAAAAATACTGTAGGCTGTTCAGTTTCTATCATTTTAAAACTAAAAGTTTGGAGGACAACAGAGCTGCTTCATGGAAGAACCTCAGCTTAGCCTGTTAGCTTTGCGTTAGCCCCGACGCTATCACTATATAATATATGTATTAGCTCAGGGCTACACACTCTCCTCTCGTCACTGAGGTCCTCCATCCACATGACAGAGAGGGGAACACACAAATGACTCAGACTGCAACTGAAAATATGGATGGAGGATCTCAGTTTAGCTTGTTAGTTTGTCGAGCTAGCACTGAGCTAATACATATAAGTCAATTTAGCTTCGGCGCTAGCCCGAAGGCTAACAGGCTAAGCTGAGGTTCTTCTTCCATGAAGCAGCTCTGTTGTCCTCCATCCATATTTTCAGTTACAGGCTGAGTCATTTCTAACTTCTCCTCTCTGTCAACACTCTCTGGTTTCATTTAAAAGAGTCGATCATCAGATATTGTCCAAGATTAACCTTCAGGGTAGATATAACTCGCTCACACTGAGGACCTATCCACATCATCATTTATCCAGAATGCTTTGCATGTAAATAAAATGGCACTGTCCGTGTTAAAATATATTTTTAAAAATTTACAAAACTAAACAGCCAACAGTATTTTTAGTCTTTATTTTGCAGTTAAAATAACTATCCATCCATCCATCCATCCATTTTCTGTACACGCTTCAAATAAAGTCGAATGTTACAACTAATCATGGATCCATTTAAATTCACCTTAACATTTATGAGGTACTTTGCATTGACTGTTTATGGTTGAGTGTGGGCGTGTAGAGGGTAGAACCTGAGGAGGACCTTGGTCCAAACTCTGAGGTGAAGCTGTGATTTATAAAGGAAAACTGCTTGAAGGTGTGCGTGCGCACGGTTTTATAAATCTGAATTTTATAGACAAACTCTCACATACAATCTGGAATTTGTGATATCTTTTTTTATAAAAATAATTTCTGCTTATTTTCCCCCCAGCAGCTGTCAGTACCTCTGATCTTCCTCTTCTCTGCTGCGTCTCTCTTGTCCTCCGTCTCCATGGTTTCCTCTATGTTCTCCTCTCCTGCTTTGGGTCGATCCAGCTCCTCGCAGATCAAACTTTAAAAGAAATCAGTTCCAACTTCAGCTTTACGGAGGACCGCTGGTCGTTCAGGACAAAACGCTGAACTACTACACACCTGATGGTGGGCACAGCGAAAGGATCGAAGTTGTCCAACTCCTTGAGGTCAATGGGGACGGAGATGCGTCCTGTCCGGGTGAGGAAGAGGAGTGACCAACTACACCTGACTGTGAGGACGGACGTTCGTGTCAAGTTCTCTCACCTGTTTTCGGATGAACACTGAAGGGGCTCTTCAGTAAATGGTTCACACCCTTGCTGACGTTCACGTCGAGCCGAGGGTAGCAGTACTGCAGCATGATCTCCTTCTCAAAGTGTTGCACCTTTTTAGCCGTCGACTGGAAGAAGCCAGAAAGTTACTGGGATTAAATCAAGTTTCAGCAAAGTTCTAATTGTTAAGTTATTTGAACTTATTCAACAAATAGAAAGAAAGAGAATAATCTCCAACTTCATTGTATTCTGACACAAAGAGCTCGATCAGGTCAGCAGATCAGTTCCTGTTGGGTCGTCCTGAAGCTGCCTTTTAACATTAAACAGGCCGACTCACTTCCTGTTTACAAAGCTTCTCTTAAAACACTTTTTTGCCCTGTTTGGTTTTTAACTCAGTTTGAGATGTTGGCTTTGGATGATTTTAACGTTTCTTTATTCCTACAGTTTTTATTGATTTTATCGCTCATACTCATTTATTTATCAGCATGCAGCACTTTGAACATGATGCATCATTTGTTTAAAGTGCTTCATGTGCTTAATAATAATAATATTAATAATAATAATAATAGATTATATTTGTAACTCACTTTATATCTGAAAGCAGATGTCAAAGTGCAACAATAAAAGTGGATAAAAACAATAAAAAAAAACATAATCATCATTTTTACTTAAACATTTTACTCATTTGTACAGAAGAGGATTAAAAATAACAAAAAAAAGTTTTTTTATTATTACCCGAGTTCTGACTTTAATCTCTCATTTTTTTGGAAACAAATCAGTTTTTTTTTAATCCTGAGATCTAAGTAAAAATTTTAATTTTGCTCTGTGGCCCTTAGAATCTTTCGTTCACAAATGCACAGAAGAGGATAATAGTTTTCTAAAGGTTATAGATGCGCCTTCTTTTCAGTAAATTCAGGATTTCAAATGTTCAACAGTTTGTGGTCATCATGTCTAATTCTTCACTTCTCCGTCCATTTTAACAAGATAAATAAATGTGCAAAATGAGAAGGCTTTTGTGAGAAATACAGACATTGTTCAAATGAGATTATTAGTTGTGTTACTGTTTTTGTGTATTTGACTGTACAAAGACACCCCACACTTTATTTTGGGTGTATGTTTTAGTTAGATTGTTCATTTCTGAGAGTACTGGTATTTACTG